GGCTGAAAAGAAACTTATTGCATGAAACCTGGATTTTTGAGATGGCCATGTCTGAAGTAAAGAACGCTTGAATCTTGTTAAACAAATGACATTTACTTTAAAAAGCAGACATCATTGTCAGGTTTAGTAAAGTGATTGGTGATAACACATTAAAGATAGTTACAGGCTGGTTCTGATACATATAGAGGCCTGTTGTGCCTTATGAACACACAAAGACAAACTAGAAAAATGAGTTCCACTCTGGAGGGCCGTAGCATGAGGCGAGGCCAACCTAGTAGCATTACTTTCAACCTGTCCAGTTTAACACATCCATAGCAGTTGGCAATCAGGATCAGCTGTACCACGAAGCTCGTTATCAACTCAATCCAGCTTGAACTGATCATGAAATTGTGAATGCGCAATTATAAAGGTAGCAGACCAATCACAATCATGAGCACAGAAGAGAGAGCGCCATATAAAAAGAAAAAGAAATAAAAGAGGAAAAAAAGTCTCAATGAAAAGTCAAACATGATGCAAAATAGCATGGCAATGGAATGCTGACTCTGTAAATGAGCAAGTTACACTTCAGTGACATTTAACACAGACTGCATCCCAATCACCATACTGTGTATCAATTGCATTCCCCTCTGGAGTGAGGAGGACTTGGAAGCAGATAAAAATTAAACGCAAAAACATAATTTATATCTGGTTAGTTGGACTTTTTAATTCAATAATGTTTGGGCTCCAATAAAGCTGGATGCTCATGCCACAGTTGCATCATATCAGTACAAGAAATTATCAGTCTGAATGAAATTATTGTTATTTTTGAGCTGTCAGAACTTCTTTTTTTTCTTTTTCTTTTTAACATTAATTCCCCTATCAGAGCAGCTTCAGTGTAACATCTACCTTTCTTTTTTATGCTGTTACAGCAAAGAAGAAAAATTATATATATACAGAAATCCAGGTATTGACCCACCTGCAATGGCATGGAATCCTTCTTTTATAGACTGTGTTCAGGTAAGTGCCTCAGCATCCCTGACGTTGAACATGAAGCTGATGGTTGCATAATATCTCATGGCCATACATCCAGTCTGTGATTCAGTGAGGAATGCATTCCTGCAGGTTGCACAGCTAACACGCGGTGCCAGGATGTGGAACATAAGCCAGTCTTGCCGGTGTAAACCAGTATCACTTATAGAAGTAATTGTCTTAATGAAACAAAGGATATTCTCACAACTTTACGGTCTGATTTTTATTGTATATTTTTCTTTAGCGTCATACATCAATGATACAAGAGAAAAGTGAACGGCGGTGGTGTATGAGGACATTATTAGTGTTGCGCCGATGCCATTTTATGGCTCCAATACCTGGCTGTGCAATATTGGCCGATGCTGATACCGATACCGTCAGTCTGAAATTGATGTATGTGTGTATATATATGAAGAACTGCATACTACCTGGATGTAAAATAATTGCCATCATGACTTTGTTAAGCTCCTGCCTACCTTTGTGAAGCAGGGAAAAGACTAATACAAAGTGAATCCAGTAGAACTTTTTATTGCCTTCCTGGAATGGGTGAGAAGAATTGAATAAACTTTTGGGTCTCAGAATGGTAGCGGTGCCCTATTTGTTGGTACTCGCTGATACCGATACCACCATTTTAGTGCTGGATTGGGGCCCCGTCCAATACAAGTATCGGTGCAACACCAGACATTATACAGGATAAAATAAATACAGAATATCAAAAGGTTGATAATAAGCAACAGAAGCTGCTGTGATGAAGTGGAATCAGAAAAGTGTTGCAGTGGGGATGGAAGTGTCTTCTTTCCAAAATAGTTTCGTCTTAAACCTAAAACTTCAAAATCCTTCATCCCAGGCAGCTTCAATATCAGCTACAACCATCCTTCCAGATCCTTTTTCCATATCTGTCTTCAGACACAGCTCCAGCATAACCCCCCCCCCACATACCAAAAACACACACACAGACATCCCCATATCTGTCTCATGCTTCATTCCCACCCCAGCCAGCCTGCAGCCCCCTGCCGAGTTAAATGGAGTGTGCTGGCATCAGGGGAGTCGTGTGTGCTCAGTTCAGCTCCGCTCAGCTGGGCTGCCAGTGTTATAAACTTGCTGTGTGATTATTGTCAGAGCTAGACTCCTCCACCCAGGACGTCTATGCTGATGGGTACTATGTCACCGGGTACAGCCATCCATAGAGAGAGGAATGAGAAGGCAAAGAAGGGATTGAAACTAAGGTGAGAAAAAGGCGGCGAGCGAGGAGAGAATTACAGGTGCTGGTCATAAAATTAGAATATCATGAAAAAGTAGATTGATTTCAGTAATTCCATTTAAAAAGTGAAACTTGTATATTATATTCATACATTACATACAAACTCATATATTTCAGATGTTTATTTTGTTTAATTTTGATGATTACAAATGACAACAAATGAAAATCTCAAATTCATCATATCAGAAAATTAGAATATTACTGAAGACCAATAAAAACAAAGGATTTATAGAAATGTTGGCCAACTGAAAAGTATGAACATGAAAAGTATGAGCATGTACAGCACTCAGTATTTAGTTGGGCCTCCTTTGGCCTGTATTACTGCAGCAATGCGGCGTGGCATGGAGTCGATCAGTCTGTGGCACTGCTCAGGTGTTATGATAGCCCAGGTTGCTCTAATAGTGGCTTTTAGCTCTTCTGAATTGTTGGGTCTGGTGTATTGCATCTTCTTCTTCACAATACACCATAGATTTTCTATGGGGTTAAGGTCAGGAGAGTTTGCTGGCCAATTAAGAACAGGGATACCATGGTCCTTCAACCAGGTACTGGTAGCTTTGGCACTGTGTGCAGGTGCCAAGTCCTGTTGGAAAATGAAATCTGCATCTCCAAAAAGTTGGTCAGCTGCAGGAAGCATGAAGTGCTCTAAAACTTCCTGGTATGTGGCTGCGTTGACCCTGGACCTCAGAAAACACAATGGACCAACACCAGCAGATGACATGGCACCCCAAACCATCACTGACTGTGGAAACTTTACACTGGACTTCAAGCAACGTGGATGAAGTGCCTCTCTTCTTTTCCTCCAGACTCTGGGACCTTGATTTCCAAAGGAAATGCAAAATTTACTTTCATCAGAGAACATGACTTTGGACCACTCACCAGCAGTCCAGTCCTGTTTCTCTTTAGCCCAGGCAAGACGCTTCTGACGCTGTCTGTGGTTCAAGAGTGGCTTGACACAAGGAATGCGACAGCAGAAACCCATGTCTTTCATACGTCTGTGTGTGGTGGTTCTTGAAGCACTCACTCCAGCTGCAGTCCACTCTTTGTGAATCTCCCCCACATTTTTGAATGGGTTTTGTTTCACAATCCTCTCCAGGGTGCGGTTATCTCTCTTGCTTGTACACTTTTTTCGACCACATCTTTTCCTTCCCTTCGCCTCTCTATTAATGTGCTTGGACACTGAGCTCTGTGAACAGCCAGCCTCTTTAGCGATGACCTTTTGTGTCTTGCCCTCCTTGTGCAAGGTGTCGATGGTCGTCTTTTGGACAACTGTCAAGTCAGCAGTCTTCCCCATGATTGTGTAGCCTATAGAACTAGACTGAAAGACCATTTAAAGGCTTTTGCAGGTGGTTTGAGTTAATTAGCTGATTAGAGTGTGGCACCAGGGGCCATCAATTTTGAACCTTTTCACAATATTCTAATTTTCTGATATGATGAATTTGAGATTTTCATTTGTTGTCATTTGTAATCATCAAAATTAAACAAAATAAACATCTGAAATATATGAGTTTGTATGTAATGTATGAATATAATATACAAGTTTCACTTTTTAAATGGAATTACTGAAATCAATCTACTTTTTCATGATATTCTAATTTTATGACCAGCACCTGTAATGTATGAATATAATATACAAGTTTCACTTTTTAAATGGAATTACTGAAATCAATCTACTTTTTCATGATATTCTAATTTTATGACCAGCACCTGTATTGTTGGTAGGAGAGAAGAAGAAAGGTAGCAGGGATTGAAGGAGAAAGGACAGAGAAAAAAAGATAGTGTAAGGAGACCCAAGCATCAAAGGAAAGAAAAAGCCAAGCTGAGCTGAGAAAAGACGGATGTACATCTGTGGCAGCAGACAAAGACCAGAGAAGACACAGAAGGAGTGATATAAAGACTGAGAGACAGAAGAATAATGTGCTGGAAGAAGACAGAAAGGCAGCAGGGAAATCAGCACTGCAGAGAAGAAGGAGATGCAGGGAGGGCGGATAGAAAGAAAGCCAAGGAAAGAAATTAGATAGAAATTTTTCAAGCGAGTGATGTGTGCTGTGATTGTTTTCTCTCTCTCTTTCCTCTTCTTTCTCTGGCTCGTTCTAAACGGTCGGGATGTGGCCTGTATCTGCCGGCAAGAAGGAACTCAATTTGGGACAATTTACTCTGCAGTCTCAGCCCTGATGCACCTCGGGGACAGAGAATAGAGAGAATGAAAGTGAAGGAAGATAGAATCAGCAAGACGCACGCATGTACACACACACACGCACGGAGGCACACAACATGCGCCTGGCACACAATTGCTGCCGAGTAGATTTCACTTAGTTAGTTCTAACTCTCTCAGGCGGTCAATACGATTGAGTTTATAAGGCTTGGAAATGAAAAGCCTGGGATAAGGTTAGATAAACTCTGCGCTGTTTGATTTCGGCCCACCACTTTTAGAAAAACCCACACAAGACAGATGGCTGAAGGGGATACGGTGTTATCAGAAGGGTCATGCGGGTGATTAGGTCTGAATGTTTTGGCCCTCGTTGTGTCTCAGTATTGATGAACATAAACGTTATCCCCCCCTCCCATGAAAAAAACCACATTTACATTCCCTCAACAAACTGGTCTCTCGAGATCATTTCAACGAACTCGTATTGAACAAAGCAAATGTTGCTCCAAGCGATATCTCATGCAATCATTTATCTCCTGAGAGTTTGGCACAACTTGACAAAATATAATATTTTCTCACTGGCAGGTCGGCAGCCTGGAGGGCCTGTACACACTAAGAGACAGCAGGGGGCGCCCTGATAGAGACACCTTTGAGGGGAGACTTGGGACTGCAGCAGGGGTAAGTGACCCAGTGTGGATTCTAATGTTTGATACAATAATCCCTCCATCATGAAAATAGCCCTGATGCAGACTCTGGTCTGCAATTTTACTGAAATTAGGCTTTTAGATTATTAAATAATAGTGATAGGACTTTTGAACACATTTCCGATATATATAAAAAATAAATTTACAGTCTATAATTTCAGTATTTTATGTTCAATTCAATTAAATTCACTCCATTCAGTTTATTTCTTTATCGCCAATTCACAACACGTCATCTCAAAGCACTTTACAGTTCATCCAGATCATACAGTCAGATTGATTCAAAGTTTTCTATCTAAGGAAAACCAGGTGATTGCATCGACTCATTGACTTGAAGGCAATCCCTCAAACTAAGCATGCTTGTAGCAACAGTGTAGAGGAAAGACTCCCTTTTAACAGGAAGAAACCTCCAGCAGAACCAGGCTCAGCCACCTGATGAGGCCGACTGGTTCCGGGTTTTTAATGTAGTTTTATGTGTTCGATTCTTCAAATCAAATATTTGTAAAATGTCACATTGATGGAGATTTCTTAAACATAGCAATAAAACTGTCTTAAGTTTGTACAGGATTCCCCTCGGGGCACATTTAGGAGTCTTTCTGAGGTTTTGAATTAGTTTATATATATGTTAAAAGTTTATCTAGTCTAAAATAGAAATATATCGTGATAGAAGTTATGGTCAGATTGTCCAGTGTTATAGAATAAAAAATAAACACTTATAAATGAAAGAAGTTCTTGTTCTTGCCACCCTGGATTGGTGTGTTCTCTTGTTCACAACCTACAATATAGTATGAGGTTCACAAATATAGTGTAAATGGCTCTGGAACCAAGCTAAGTTTATTTGTAACCAAGAAATGGTTCTTCCATCCAGTCAGCTAATCTTTACATGCATGAGAACATTGGGTAACTGTCATAATGAAGGTGACTCTGGATGAGAGCAACTACAGAAACTGAAGATGGTTAAGAGATTTTATTTAGAAACTAGGCAGTGGACATGAACTGGAAGGCAGTTTGGTCAGGTCAGGTTCTTCTGGGCTTCTGCAGAGAAGAAGAGGCTGGTGAATGAGAGGAAACTGTGCTGGAGGATCTTGGTGGGAGTGACACTCACAGTAGAGAGGCTGTGGTCCGGTCTTGGGGGGGAAGTGTCCCCGGTGGTCCGTGTGCTGACCAGTACTCTCTTCCTGGTTGGAGGTTCGAGGGTGGACAGGCAGGCGATCGCAGGTAGGAGGGCTGAACGGTGGTTAACCCGAGATCCTTCTCGGGTTCTTGGTTGTATCTCAGGCGGAGGGTCCAAGGTCTTTGATTCACGGCTGGGTCCAGGGGTCAGAAACAAGGGTTCTGCAGGAAAAGGATCGAAAAAAAATTCAGACTAGACTAGACTTTTACTTCTACAAGGACTAGGACTAGGCTTGGGTTTGGTCTGTTACCAACGCTGTGACGTTAACGAACTGACGCCCTCCTCCTGGTTCCAGCTCCTTAAGAAGGGTGGTGATCACCTCAGATGTAGTGCACCTGCCCGTCCATCCCTGCAGAGGAGAGAGAGAGAAAAACTGGCCTGCACCCGGATGGAACCCGGGGTGTGACAGTAACATAATGCAAAAAATGGAAACACTGTCATATAGTCCATCACAGGATCCCAAACAGGATCCTTAATCCATCCTCCTACTCCACTTTACTTATCTACATACTGCTTCACTTATAATACCTTCACATGTACTGTAGGGAGTATACAAAGACATACACAGTACGCCTCAAAAAGTGCTGCCAAGGCTTTCCGGTATAAAACAGACCAGACCAGTCATAATGAGGAAGGCAGGTCCCATAATGCTATAGTTGCAGCTGAAACGGAGCTAGAAATAAAACAGATGTTTTATTTTTACTCTTTATTATGTCTGATAAGAGCTGATTATGTAAAATTTCACCAACTGGCTGCTCTGGTTTTTCTTTTTTTAAATCGAGGTTTTTGTGTCACATCAGTAGTTATTTGATTGGTTCTAAACTGTTTCCCGTGACTCTGTTAGTCCCGCCTTTGAATTCGGGTTCTGCCTGCTCCTTTCTATTTTCCGATACACACGGTGTAAATTAGTCTGTCCAGTGTAGGTAACAGATCTGCTTGGACCTCGCACATGCCAGAGACAAAATACTATATGATTGGCTGAATGTTGCCAAAATAACCTTGAACATTGTTGTTGGACAACTATAATAACATAAGGTAACGTCTGTATGCTGAGATGGGAGAATCTGTAGTGTTAGTGTGTTAATGATCGAAAACATTTTTAGCTGATGGATAACAAAACTGAAAAGATAATTTTTTTGGTGAACTAAGTAGACCTGGGTAGCGCTTTCCTCAGCGGCTAAAGGGCTGGTTATCCTCCCGCAGCAGTGTGTCGCAGTGAGCCTGTCGCAGATTTTTTTGATTTACGCCCAATATTGAAGCATGGTCTGCGCTTTGTTATTCCACGCCACAACGCAAGAGAGACAATCAGAAACTAGTTGTGGGTCTAGATATGGCTGAGGCGATGAGGAAGTGGGGGCAAGTTTGTGTGACAACGAAGGGACATGACGGTGAGAAAGAGCGGGGATCCAGGTGGAAAAAGGGTCCCAGCGTTCTTCAAGCTGGTCCCACTTCACGAGTCAGCACTGTCTGTGGTCCCCTACAATTTTGGAGAGGAGCACCAGAGTGTCTGCGGAAGGTGCACATTTACGTTCACTGCGACACACATGTGAACAAACTGGTTTCTGAGTATAAACCAGCCTTAACAGGTTAGCCTCTTTTAGGTTGGTCAGTTGCCCAAATTAATCTACACAACTTTTAACTTTGTGTAAACAACAAGCATCCATCCACAAGTAGAATAATTGGGGGAAACCAAATATTACACCAAACTGCCTCTCTGGCTGCAGCGCACGTTCGCATAGGGTGACCGGATTTGGGTTTCTGGGGCCGCTGACTGGAGGTGTTGTTCCAATTAAATCTACCCGATTAAATCTAAACACTATGGTTGATGAAGTTCAAGCCTAGTGTCTAATCATAATCTTAAGAATGTGTATATTCCTATGCTGTATGTGTAGAGTTGATGGGGATACCAATTCTGGCAATATGGGATGAAATAAAACGCCTGATGTTAGAACAATGACTGGATAGTATAACATAGAGAAATTGTAAGTAAATATAAAACATAAATATAGATTTAAGTAATAAATTTCACATAGGAAAAAGTAATGTTCCTATTGGATATAGTCTTTAATGATTACACGTACGCTCCATTTTCTATTTAATTTTTATTACAAATATATGGTTGACATCAGTTTTCAATGGGATGAGAACATTTAGACAGCATGAAAAGACAAGAGATTTTTTAAGGAACGTGTTGAAATGAACAAGTAGCTGCTAGTTTTCAGAGAAAGGAGTAGAAACTACTGTCAGCGACCTGTTTGGATGCAAACGCTTGTGTTTTCTTTTTTTTATCACTGGCAATATTGTGCTATAACATGTGAAAGGAAGAATAAAACAGAAAAGCTCATCTTTCATAAACATAACACCTTTCAAATTTCACGTTGAGTATGTTGGAATTGATTCGGAGTGAACTCGGTCACCCCGTCCGCCGGGGAACCGGCCCCGGAGCTGACGGCTCAATTTGAGTCCCCCTGGACATTTTTTTAGGAATGTAAAGTAGGACATCTGGTCACCCTACGTTTGCAACTAAGGGGGAATAGATCTTCACAGGGGAACAAACTTTTGCACAATCCTGCTCCCAGCAGACTGAAGTAATTACCTCTGCCAAGACAGTTATATTTTAAGGAGAGTTTGTGTATAGTGTATCTCTATGTCTGTCTGTGAGCTGGATAACATGAAAAGTTATGAATGGATTTTAATTAAATTTTTCACCAGAGCTCCATCTTATGCCAAGGAACAATCCATAAAATTTTGTTGATGATCCAAATCATAATCCATATTTTAAAGGATTGTTTAACATTGTGAGCTAATTATTTATGGAGGAAACAAGCAAAGTACTGCAACAATTAGCTGTGGACAAGTAGCCTTCAAGCTTTCAAACACAAACATCTACTGTACATGCTTGTGGTTGCTGCAAAAGATTATCCAAATTGAATTGCAACTTTGTTTAAAAAAAGATACATTTTTGGTACAGTTAATTCAATTAAAACTGACAAAATATAATTAAAAAATGTTACAAAACGGTATAATTACAGTCATTCCTTTTGCCAAATAGTAGTCTATATTGTGTTATTTTTTGTCCTCTGTTGACTAAAAAATCTAATCACCAATAAGTAACATGTAATAAAACAGCTTTTCTTTTCCCTCTCTCCACCGAGTGCTCCTGCTGCTCACCGATGTGATGGCGCCTTGGGTGGTGAGCCATATCACCCGTATTAAAAGCTGCTGCAAGCAGACAACAAGTAGATAACATGGCCATGTCAAAGAGAATCACACCGCCATCAGCTCTGATGTTACTCAGCATGTGTATGCAAATTAAACTTAATTTCCATGTTTCAATCAGGGTCTAGTGTTGATTAGCAAGAAGGAGAAAATTAAACATATGATGTGGCGAGTAACAGATAAAACCATGTACCTTATTTCTGATTTCTGACTCTCGTCCATTTTGCATCACCCAATCACTTAGTGTTTCCCACCTGCAGTAAAACCGTTCTGCATCACCGGCTGAGCACACAATGCAGCCTCCTGACCGGGCTTTAGTTGCCAGGGAAACCGTCACCCTCGGAGATATCCCGTGACAGTGCAGGGTGAAGGAGGCGGGATGAGAGGAAGGGTCTGAGGTATGGCTTTGGCCATGCACGTTCTCCAGGGGGCACCAGACCTTTGGACCTTCCCCAATGCATCCCCTTCAGCTCACAACACACACGAAGCAGAAATTAGTGCACCCACACACACACACACACACACACACATAGAGACACACACACAGAGGCATGCAAATAGAAGCAGGGGGAAGAACAGGAACC